AGGAGAGGACAGAACTGTGTCTCAGAAGAAGCTGGGGACACAGCACACATTGGGTTCAGCCTTAGTTAGTGCCATGGTCACTGCCTCTCAAAACCTGGACCCTGAGTGAGCAGGGAGGGGATGGGCAGAGCCGGGAAAGGATGGAGGAGGGGCCTGGACCCAGTGGGCACCCAGCCTGGAAACCGAGGAGGAGCTTCCAGGATCCGGGACGGTGACACCTGCCAGCCTTGGCTCAGGTGACCCCTGGGGCAGGGGCTGTGGCACAGAGCAGTGAGCCAGCACCTGCAGTGCCTTCATCCCATGTAGGCACAGAGCCGAGCCCCGGCGGCTTCACTTCCGATCCAGCTTCCTGCTAATGCGCCTAGGAAAGCAGCAGAAGGCCCACGTGCTTGGGTCTCTGTGCTCACCTGGGAGACCCAGAAGAAGCTGCTGGCTCCTGGCGTTGGGCTGACCCAGCCTCAGTAGTTTGGGGAGTGAACCAGATGATACAAGATCTCTCCCTTGGGGCTAGAACTGTGGCATAGTGGGTAAGGTCGCTGCCTGCAGTGCCAGCTACCCTGTTGTTCTACAGTTCAAGACCCAGCTGCTCCACTTCTGATCCAGCTCACTGCTGTGGCCTGGGAAGGCAGTGGAGGATGGCCCAGGTCTTTGGGCCCCTGCACCCGCATGGGAGACCTGGAGCAAGCTCCTGGCTCCTGGCTTCAGATTGGCGCAGCCTGGCTATTGCAGCCATCTGGGGAGTGAACCAACGGATGGAAGACCTCTCTATCTATGCTTCTCCCTCTCTCTCTGTGTATCTGTGACTTTCAAGTAAAATAAGCAAATCTTAAAACAAACAAACAAAAATCACTCCCTTAATCCCCATGATTCTCTGTAACTCTGCCTTCAAATAAATGAATAAATATTTTTTTAACATATTCTCAGAGAAGGCCTCCAGGGTGTCCAGTCACAGCCCATTGCTGCTTGCTGTCCATCCCTACACTATCCTGGAGTCAGCCGGCGAGGACAGTAAACTTGGTGACTCCAGGACTGAGGAGAGGGATTGGACACCCAGAGGAGCCAGGAGCCAGGGAGGCAGGAGCCAGGGGAGGAGCCAGAGGAGGCAGCCCACCAGGCCCTGTCCTCTCAGTCCTGCTCTCCTGCAAGGCCCCCAAGCCCCACCTTCAGGGAGCAGCCTGCCTGTTTCCTTCAGGTCCTGGGCTGGGCCTGGCCAGCCTGGAAGTGCCCGGGGCAGCCTCTGGGTGCAGCGCAGCACATGCGCACGGGCCTCAGACCATGGGGACGCACAGACAGGGCACGTGGCTCGGCACCATGGCCTGCGGGCTCCTGCTGCTCCTCCTCGTCCCTGCACACGGTGAGGCTCTTGCGGGTGGGGACAGGAACCTGGGTCAGATCTGCCCAATCCCGCAGTTAGAGCCTGGGGCCGTGGGAGAACAACACTGGGCAGCTGTAGCGGGTAGAAGTAACTGCGCTGGCCCCTGAGGCTCTGGGAGGGTTGGGGCTGCCTGAGGCCCCAAACACAGAGGACTGAGCCCAACGTAAGGGCTCTGAGCAGCGGGGCTCTTGGTCGGCAGCCGGGAGTCAGGCAGTGTTGTGGTAACTGGGGACGTTCCCTGGGCCCGTGGCTGCCGGACCAAGTGACCACAACAGTGAGGAACCTGCCCTGGGAACATTTGTCTCCAGGGCTGATGTCCATTGGCAGAGCAGCTCCCTGAACCACCAGGTGGCCCCAGGCATGGTAACTGGACCTGCAAAATACAAAGCCCCTGATGCCAATCCAGAAGCCCATCTGTGACCCAGGTCTCCTCAACCTGAGCACCTGCCAGGGACGTTTGCAGGGCCAAGGTTCCATGATGAAGGTGACCCCACCCTAGAACCTGACATTCGTTTTCTCTTGAATCAGGCCACATGGGTTACTCAGGGCGTGTGTCCTTGATCCTTTGTCTCCTCATTCTAAAGGCCCAGGTCTCTAACCCCACCCTCTCCCTATCTAATCCCCAGCACAGTTCCCACTCCTCCTCCTCCATGCTCACCCACGGGCTCCCCGCCTGCCCTGCAATGCACAGACTCTCCCGGCGACCAGGACCTTCCAGGCAGATCGTCTCCCCCACATCACTGTGGTTCCTAATAAAGTAATATCTGGGGCTGGGTCCCCACGCAGAGAGGGAGCAGTTGTTCCCCAAGGTCCCTGGGAGTCGCTGTGCGTGTCCGGGGCAGGAACCGCGGCAGCGTCTGCACGGAAGCCGCCCCTGTCCTCCGTGAACTCTGCTGAGCTCAGCTCACTGTCAGCCTCACAGCCGGAACTGCTGCTGCGGGCAGCGCTGTCCTCCATGTTTGGGGCGAACGACAAGGACAAGGTCGGGACCAGCTCAGGACAGAGGCGCTGTTTACTCACCCGCTCCGGGGCCAGGCTCTCCTCTCCCTGACCCAGGGGCCCAGAGCACCCTTGTGGCCGGGCATCACCTACTGTGACATGGGAGGTTCCTCCCGAGGAGGAGTCAGCTTCCATGGGCTGGGGATGATTGATTTCTGCTGGTTTGAAGGCAGAGACACAGGGAGAGGGAGAGCCAGAGTGAGAAAGAGCTCTCCCCTCCACGGTCTCCCTCAGATGCCCGCTGTGTTAGGAGGGGAGCATCCCAGCGGCCTTGTTACTGCTGCTCCAAGTGTCTGCCCAACAGTTGGCACTTCCCTTGGGCTTCTACCGAGGGTGGGACCTGCAGGGCGGGTGGAGCTCCAGGTTAAGTGTTGCAGGACTGCCCGTCGGGTTCCCAGAGCAGGTGTCCCATTTCCCTACCCCAGCGATGCACAGAGGTCCCCTCCCCACCCCCACGCCCACGCTCTGTACCCCTGTGCGGTTGCCCTGTGTTGCTGAGTCTCCCTCACGCTTCAGCTCCCCCTCTGCCTCGCTGTGCTCTTCCTCCTGATTCCTGTGTTGAGAAACCGGTTTACCCCTGGCTCTCTCTGGAGGGGGAGGCCCCGTCCCTGTGGTGCCTTCTGACCGTTCCTCATTCCCCTCACCCTGTGTACACAGGAATTGTACCTAGAGGCTCCATCAGGTTCAGCTGTTAGGTTCCGCTGCTGTTTTTTCTTGTTTAGGGAAGACCAGCATGTGGTGCTGAGTCCTCACCATAGAACATCTCGACCTTTTCATTTCTGATTCGTGGCACAACATAGGTCATGAGGGGCCGCATTGGAGCAGCAGTGGGGACGCCCCAGCCCTGAGCCCTGTGCTCAGGTCCTGCGTCGGCAGCTTCCTAACTCCAGCTTCCTGCTAACGTGCAGGCTGAGAGGGAGCAGGGGGGCTCCGGTACTGATTCCTGCCTCCCACTTGGGAGACCCCGATTGAGTTCAGGGCTCCTGGCCTATCAGGGCACCATCCCAGCTGTGGTGGGCATTTGGAGAGGGAACCAGCACCAGGACATCTCTGTCTCTCTGTTTGTGTCTCTGTCTCTCTTTCAAATAAATGAATACAAATTACACACAAGAGCCACTAGGGGGTAATCGGGAACTACATTTCTGTGAAATCCTCAGGTTTATGTGCATATTTGTACACCTTATTTCTTTTTTTTTTTGAGAGATTTATTTTATTTGAAAGGCAGATTTACAGAGAGACAATTGCGTAGAGAGAGAGATACAGAAAGAGAGAGAGAGAGAGAGATAGAAAGAGAGAGAGAGAGAGGTCTTTCATTCTCTGTCTCACTCTCCAGTTGACTGCAATGGCTGGCGCTGAGCCAATCCAAAGCCAGGAGCTTCTTCCAGGTCTCCCATGTGGGTGTGGGGCCCAAGGAGTTGGACTGTCTTCTGCTTTCCCAGGCCAGAGCAGAGAGCTGGATGGACAGTGGAGCAGCCAGGACTCAAACTGGCACCCATATGGGATGTTGGCCCTGCAGATGGCCGCTTTACCTGCTATGCCACAGTTCTGGTCGCTACACCTATTTTCTGATGTATGGCTAAAATGTTCTTATTTGTTCGTAGACATTCTTTACTAATCCCTGGGCTTCCCCATTAGGTGACTTCGTCACCTCCTCCCTCACTGGTCCCCAGGTCAGGCTGTGCTTGTCCTGTCCTGGGAACAGTCACCTCCCTCCTGCATTCATAGCACCAATGCCATCTCTTTTATAGAGCATGCTCTCTTTCTGTTTTTTTTTTTAATGATATGTTTCGTTTCTTTCTTGAAAGATTTCTTCTTTATTTGAAATGCTGAGTTCCAGACAGAAAGGGACAACAGATCTTCCATCCTCGGATCCCCTCCACATGTGTGCATAACAGTCAGGGCTGGGCCAGTCCAAAACCAGGAGCCATCCAGGTCCTCCAGGAGGGTGCAGGGCCCAGGCGCTGGGGGATTCTACTACGTCCCCAACCCATTAGCAGGGACCTGGATCCGGGGTGAAGCAGCCAGGATGGAACTGTGTAGGGGATGCTGGCCATGCAGGCTGTGGGTGCACCCGAGTGCCACTACACCGCCCCCTAGAGGACGCTTCCTTTCTTCCCTTCTTGTGGCCTGGAGCATGAGCCTCCTAGCAGGGGAGCCTGGTCAGTCTGGTGCTCACAGCTCTACCTCCTGTGACCGAGGGCAGTCAGCAGAAAGGACGCTCTCCTCGCCCCCAGGGCTGTCACCTGCGCTGACTCCTAGTGCTCAGGGAGGGTGCTAGGTCCCAGGAGCCTCGGGAGCTGTGGGATGTCCTGGGCTGGGCAGGGACAGCACTGCTGGCTGGGAGATGGGGGAGAGTTTCTCATGCAGGACGTTGGTCAGGTCAGTGTTTGTAGGTCCGAGGCCTTGGCAAGGCTGAGGTGCTGATGCCAAGGAGAGGCCACAGCAGCAGTGTGGGAGGGCAGCTCATAGGAAGCCCCCACCCGCTGTGCCTCTCTGCCCACAGGCCAGGACTCTGCCAGCCCCATCCGGAACACGCACACGGGGCAGGTGCGTGGGAGCCTGGTCCACGTGGAAGGCACCGATGCGGGCGTCCACACCTTCCTGGGAATTCCCTTTGCCAAGTCACCTCTGGGGCCACTGCGCTTTGCACCTCCTGAACCTGCTGAAGCTTGGAGTGGAGTGAGGGACGGGACCTCCCACCCAGCCATGTAAGCGCTCCCAGGGCACAGGGGAGCTCCGGCCCTGGGGTGGGGTCGGGGGAAAGATCCTCTGAGTTCTGGGCCAGGCCCAGCTGTCTGGGACAGAGCTCCCATGACCAGCTTTCCCTGTGGGTGATGGCTCCCTCGTGTGTTATTCAGTGAGTCTGCTTAGGCTTCTGGATTCAGTGACCATGAAATGCTTTGGGGCCAGAACGTGGCACTCAGAGCACGTTAAATCCAGGTACAGAGAGAAAAGCAGAGACGCTCTTCTGTGTCCAGGAGAGGCCACAGGCTCTCTGCCTGCAGGGGGCGCTGTGTCTGGGTGAGGTTCACCTGGCTCCACATGCTTGTAGGAGGCCCTGACTCCATCAGCAGATCCTGCAGCTCCCTGAGATGGGCACCAGAGGGGGTCGTCATGGTCACTGAGCCAAGGACAGGGCAAGGACATTGGCCAGGGACCCGTGTATGCCCTTAGGACTGGAGACTGTGGGAACGGGGAGGTTCCTGAGTCTAGAGTGAGGTGAGGGTCGTCCACTGCCCTTCCTAGGGAAACGCCATCCGTCCATCCAGGCTCGTGTGCGGGAGGCTGGCCTGCTCCGGCGTGGCTGGGTCTGGGCATCCAGCACTGAGTGTCCCTTCTGCAGTCACGACTTCCCACAGAGTCCCCTGTCAGTCAAGAGTGGTCCCCAGACTCTCGGACACCTGAGGCTCCCTGATGTTGGACCATCCCAGCTCACCCAGAGTCCAGGACCTGGATCCTGGTGGGAAGTGTCTTATGGAAGCCCATGAGTGAGCAGGGCTGTAGGAGGAGGCCCAGGAGGGTCGGGCACACTAGACCCAGGCTCTAGACTAATGGCTGCCTTGGGTGGCTCCAGGTGTCCACAGAACTTGACTCTGGTCAGTCAACTTGTTCTGCAGCTGAACCTCACCCCGCCTTCCATCCCCATGTCCGAGGACTGCCTGTACCTCAACATCTACTCGCCTGCACATGCCCGTGAGGGCTCTGACCTTCCTGTGAGTGTGGGGCAGGGTCGGCTGGGGTGGGAGGGCATTGCCTTCTGCTAGAAGATGAGAAAGGAGAAGCTGAGCATGGGCCCTCCTGTGAGCACACCCTGTCCAGAAGCCTCTCACTATCAGAGCCGAGAACTGCTGCTCCCCCACGGTGGGCAGCTGAGCCCCTGGCATGGGATCCCAGGGTCTGAGATGTCAGAGGTCAGACTGATGGTCTTGAATGGACCCGGGACACCTCAGCACCCTCATGCCCAGGAGGCACACTCAGTGACCCCTGGCTACCCTCAGAGGTCACCACAACTCCCAGCCACGGATGGTGTGGGGGCCTGAAGAAGGGAAGGCACTAGGATGAGCATCTGTGCGGATTGATGAGATAGACAGCCGATATTTGTTCACCTCATAGGGGGCTCAGAAATTGACAGACCAGGCTTTGAACATGGAGTTAGACTCAAAGGATGGGAGGCCTGGCCTTCCTGATTATACCTGGGTCCCTGGCTCATGGCCCAGATCCTGCAGTCTGGCCTGAGTTTGGTGTGCTGGGCTCTGCACAGACCCAGGTACTGGTTACACCAGGTGGGGGATGAGCAAGCTTTAGGATGAAGGAAGCCACATGGTATGCCCTTGATTTCCCCAGGTGATGGTGTGGATCCACGGTGGTGGGCTGACCATGGGCATGGCTTCCATGTATGACGGTTCTGCATTGGCTTCATTTGAGGACGTGGTGGTAGTCACCATCCAGTACCGCCTGGGAGTCCTGGGCTTCTTCAGCTGAGACCGGGGCTGGGGTGGGCACTGCAGGAAGAGCGGACTGGGACAGCCCTGTGACCCCTGTCTCTGCCCCTTCTCAGCACTGGAGACCAGCAAGCTGCCCGCAACTGGGGCTACCTGGACCAAGTGGCCGCGCTGCGCTGGGTCCAGCAGAATATCGCCCACTTTGGAGGCAACCCTGGCCGGGTCACCATTTTCGGCGTGTCTGCGGGTGGCACAAGTGTGTCATCCCATGTGCTGTCACCCATGTCCCAAGGTCTCTTCCATGGAGCCATCATGGAGAGTGGGGTGGCCCTGCTGCCCACCCTCATCCCCAGGTCATCTGAGGTGGTCTCCACAGTGAGTGTCCTCACTGCCCAGTCCTGCTGCTCCTGCCTATACTTCATCTCTGATCAAGGGGCACAAGGAGGGAGGACCATCGGGTTCTCAGGCCCTGCTGCCTACCACTGCATTACTGAGAGGCTCTAGGGTTAGAAGCCACACACCTGTGTCCCAGCAGAGGCAGAGGTGGTTCTCAGCTCCACCAGCTGCCTGCCCTGACCCCAGGTTTTCGGCAACCAGCACAGCAGGTGCTGCCCACTGCGGCTGGGCGGTGCCAAGTCATGGGGAAGGAGCAACAATCAGCTTCCAACTGCAGCCATGCGCACACCACACCCTGTGTGATTTGGGGTACATCTGCCTTCAATGGGGCCGTGGGCAACCCCCAGTCTCCAGCATGGCTGTGCCCACCCCTGTGTGGTTCTGTTACAGGAGGTGGCCAACTGGTCTTGCTGTGGCCAGGTGGACTCTGAGACCCTGGTGCGCTGTTTGCAGGCCAAGAGTGAAGAGGAGATGCTGGCCATCACCCAGGTCGGGCCCTGTGCATGTGGGTGAGGGGGTGATGGGCTTGTGTGCAGTTCATAGTCCCTGGGACAGCTTCCTCCCATCCATGCCTCCTGACATCCCAGCCCTGGATGGAACAGGGGACCCAGTCCTGGATGCCAGGCTGGGGCCCCTAGGGGGTGAGGGTGAACACGCTGGGCTGAGCCAATCGGGGATGGAGAACACAGAGGGCTTTAGAGAGCACCTGGGACACTGCTTCCTCCCTACCCCGTGTGACCCACAGGCCTTCATGCTCATCCCAGGGGTGGTGGATGGAGTCTTCCTGCCCAGACACCCCGAGGAGCTGCTGGCCTCGGCTGACTTTCAACCCGTCCCCAGCATCATTGGTGTCAACAAAGATGAGTATGGCTGGGGGCTCACCTGGGGGAGCCCCACTCCGGGCTCATGAGTTCCCCCATAGCCCATGTGGTGTGCAGGCCTCTGGGATTCAATGCTCCTACCCAGGCCGCCCCCCTCCCCACTCTTGAGACTCTCCCCTCTCCACTCAGGTACTGTTTGGCACTGACCCTCAAGAGGAGAGAGACAGAGAGGCGATGCGGGAGATTATGCATCAAACAGCAGAACAGGTGGTAACGTCCCAGGCTACAGCACCAACAGAGCGCATCCCAGACACCTGCCCACACAGGGACTCCGGGAACCAAGGCTCAGCTGTGTGTTTGGGGAGGGGTCTCCCGGAGCCTGGTTCTTCCCCCAGTTTATGACTATACAGGACCTCCGTCCCCCAGCCTGAGCCTGCTGCCTCCCTCCCAGGAGCTGCTCCCCTCACTCCTTCCCCTTCCCCTGGGCCAGATGCTGCCTCCCGCTTTGGGGGACCTGTTGATGGATGAGTACATGGGGAGCAATGAGGACCCCAAGACCCTCATGGCCCAGTTCCAGGAGATGATGGCAGACGCCATGTTCATGATGCCTGCACTCTGAGTAGCACATTTCCAGCGTGAGTTCATCTGGGACTGAGGCCTCACTCGCTAGGGGCAGCTCAGAGCTGGGTCCTTTCCTGAGGGTGACGCCTGTCCTGTCCAGGTGCTGATCCATGTCTTAAGTGGGCCCCACAGTGCCGGGGACTTGGTGTCCCTGCTCTCAGTAAACCCCCATGGCTTGTTCCAGAGACCAGCATCTCCATTCTGGTACAGAGGAGCAGACTGGGCTGAGTGAGCTTCACTCACTGACCCAGACCTCAAAGGCATGAAGTCCAAGGCCAGGATCTAACCCAGGGCTTGCCCAATGTGCCTGTTCCCCCTGCTACCTCTCCCCAACTTCCCAGGACCCAGCCTGGTGCAGCAATTATGTGTCATCCCCATGGGCATTGTAGGAGAACACCGGGAAGGGGCCACCCATCTCCCTGTCCGTCCCCAGGTTCCCACGCCCCTGTCTACTTCTACGAGTTCCAGCATCGACCCAGCTTCACAAAGGACCTCTGGCCACCCCACGTGAGGGGCGACCACGGCGATGAGCTGCTCTTTGTCTTCAGATCGTTTCTCTTTGGCAGCAAAGGTGCATCTTCCTCCTTCGCCAGGATGGGCATGAGTTCCAGGCTCCCCGGATGGGGCTGTGTGCCCAACCTAAGGATGTTAGGACAAAGTTTAGATGGGATCCAGGATCCAAAGTCTTACAGCTCAGAGGGCAGAGCCAGGATTGGAATCTGAGAGCCATCTGTACACAGCCTGAGGTCCAGCTGTGCAGCGGAATATCCTCTTCTGCCCGCCCAGGGATGAGTGTCCAGCCTGGGTGCACATGGATCAAAGTCATGTCTGTTTCCTGAACAATGTCCCAGGTCAGAGGGAAGACACCATCCAGGCAAGGGAGATGGCAGAGACTGACTTAAGGCATGATGGGGACGTGGAGTGTGACAAAGCAGGTCCCATTGGTGAGAGGATGACTACAGAGGTTGGCGAATAGCCGAGTGTCAGCTCCACCTGGGCTGGTGAGCGTGGTGCATGATGGGTAGCAGGACTGGGGTGGCCGAGCTGACCCTGCCCCTCCCCTCTGCAGTGCCCCTCACTGAGGAGGAGGAGCTGCTGAGCAGGAGGGTGATGAAGTACTGGGCCGACTTTGCTCGCAACGGGTGAGACGACCCCCCCCCAAATCCCCAGGGACCTGGGACCCTCTGCCCTCCCTCCTCTGTGGGGACCTCCCAGCATCCAGGGTCCTAAGTCACGTGACAGCGCCCTCCGCAGCTGCAGGACCCACTGACACTCACAGGGGCCTTGGGACCAGGCACACTCTTCCCATCTCCCAGTGACCTAGAGCTGCTCACGTTTGCTCCCCATGAGCTGCCCGCCCACACTGCTGCTGTGGCCTCTCCTTGGCATCAGCACCTCAGCCTTGCCAAGGCCTCGGACCTACAAACACTGACCTG